AAAGTCCCTTTTCCTGGGTTTCTGAGTCATTCTGAAAGAAAAATCTGACCGATTCTCTAAAACGGTATATGAAAACCAGTATAGTTCATGGCCGTCCTTCCGAAAAACCTCATAGCTCTAAAGAATTCATCTTTTCGATTTTCTAATCAAATGTAAGCATGATGTTGGCGTCAGTAGGAAAAAGACGAAAGAAAATCCCTGGGGCCACGGTTGTAGTGAGTTTCAAATGAAAACATCAGTAACTGGATATTTGTCAGCCCTTCACGAACGTTTCCTTTCTTTGCACAGAGAGAGGGGAGGATGATTGCCTGCTGGGGTCGCAGATCGATGGATATTACAGATACGAGCCTTTGGGAGGTAAGAGAGAGGAACTTGACAAAGCGGCCACTAAAATTCAAGCAACGTTCCGTGGGCACAAAGCAAGACAAGAGGCACAAACCTCTGCAGAAAAGACTGAGAACAACGAAAACCTCGGAAAGGGAGAACTGCCGCTTAACACTGCTGGTAGTTTTGGCGGGAAAGAGAACGGCGGGGAAGAACACGCGGCTGCCACTAGCATACAAGCTGGTTACGTTACCGTGGTAACTACACTCGTAAGGATTTAAAGGCGCCAAACGAAACTGCGACAACAATCCAGGCTGGTTATCGAGGCTATGCTGTTATAAAAGGAATGCAAGATAACTATTCGACCAAACCACTGGACGAGGATAGAAAGGATGTTGCCACAAATGAAGAAGAAGAAGCAGCTGCTGTTACAATACAATCCGCACTTAGAGGACATCAAACCAGGAATGCAATTCACGGTGACCTGAAAAGTAACTCTCCAGCTGATCGAGGGATCGATGACAACCAAATCGACTCATCTCTCGAAGATGGCAGCGTAGCAAATGAACAAGGCGACGAGAAACAGAAAGCAAATGATTCCACAGTAACAGATAAAGACGAGGCTGCGACCAAAATCCAATCAAGCTACCGTGGTTATTACACTCGCAAACAGCTTAGACAAAAGAACGAGGCAGCGACGACCATCCAAGCCCATTACAGAGGTTATCGGGTGCGCGAAATGTGGCGGGTGGATAAATTGATAGCCATCAAGGAAGCTTCATTTCCTGAAACTGCAGAAGCAAAACACGATGGTTAATTGACAATGAGGATAGACTTCACTTCCCTTGCCATCCATTGACTGCATTATATTGCCTAGGCGTGTTTAGCTGTGAACTGATTCAACTTGTCCTTAACCCGGGGCGGAGGCGGGGGCTCCCATATAAAAAGGACG